AGTCTCCTTTCGTTGTATAGAAGTTGTTTGACCTTGTTTTCGCAACTTGGTCATATTGGTAGGAGGACTTAGAGGAACGCATCTAGTCCGGAGTCCATCGTATGCATGATAATTTCCAAAGTTAGACCATGGATGTGGTACATTCCCGGACGTTTCGCCGGTGTCGTAGTCGGCATCGTCAGTGAGTCCTGCTATTCTTGGGGACATGTGAAGCCGATCCTTTGACCAAATGTGTGCTTAACAGTTGTGGTATCTCTTCTGTCATAGGCTATTCACCTCTTCTATATCCTCTTATCACGGCTTCACTATCACAACTAGCTCTAGTCTCCGCCGCGTCTATCTTATTTCTATCCTTAATAACAAGTATATGGCTTGCTATGCCCTAATTTATTGTTTGCCAACCCACAAATGTTGCGGAAATGCTTGCTTTCATTAGGATCAATGTTGAACCACATCGTTTGTGGGTTGGCACACAAGAGACTAGGGCATATCAGGTCATGGACTTGGTATTACGCATAGAAACAGGATAGATGCGGTGTAGGCTAGAGTTAGTTGACTAAAAATAGAAGTGCTTCATGGATCACATCTATGATCATACATGTCTATTGTTAGCCAAATAGCTCTAGAATCCACCGCGTCTATCCTCTTTCTATTCATAATACCATGTCTATCACTTCCCATTTCCTAGTTTCTTGTGTGCCAACCCACAAATGTTGTGGTTCTACTTGTTTTGATTAGGCTCACTGAAGTCGTCTCTTGGCTTCTGATTGTTCCTTTCTGGTCCCCCTGCAATTTCTTTTCCTAAAATTAAGGATGCAAACTTTTTGCTGACCTTCCTGTTGCCTGGTCTTCTAGTTTGTTTAGGCAATATGCAAAGTTTTCGCTGATCCTGTCTTCTTCAAGTCTCCTGCTCATTAGATTTCTCTTTCTCAGTATATCGATGGCCTCTCAGATCTTGCGTTTTCTCGTATTTTCATCATATGCAGTCAGCCTTTCTGTCGATTTCCAGTTAATTTGTCGCCATGTTCGTGTAATGTGTACCGCTATTTCGGATCCTTCCGTATCCATTTTTCTGCAGAGTCTTTGATTTTTATTGATTCGTAGGCCGATTTTTCTTCCTGCTTCACCGATATACCTTTGATCAAGCTGCCGCATTTGATGCGATAAACTCCCGAGGCAAATGCGTGTCAGTTTTTCCAACTCTTTGTCCCAGAACTCAGTCTCTGTTAGTCGTAAACTTCTGATTATCAAATTCAACAGTATTCCGATCTTCAGTCTGTAGTTATGGTTAGACTGAAAATCAAGGATTATTTCCGCATATGAATGGCTTATGTATAGTCTCCTCCTGAGTGCCCCGTTGGAGCGCATGACTTCAATAGCTAGAAAGGATAGTCGCTCATCCTCCTTCACCTATATAGTGAATTTAATTCTTTCATCAAGTTGGTTAATGAAATTGAGGAATTCATTTAGATTTTTCTTAGCATGTGACCAAAGGGCAAAATAGTGATCCAAGTATTGCATAAACACTCTTGGTTGCAGTGGTGACTTCTCGAATTCCCTTTCCAACTTGTCCATGTACACATTTGCCAAAATAGGTGAGAGTGGTGATCCTATCGGTATTTCAAATATTTGCTCATAGATAATGCCGTTAAATGTAAAATATGTTGTCATAACTTTTAGGTTGATTAGTCGCGTTAACGACTCCTTCCGTATCCGTTCTGCCTCCAGGATGTCCTCTTCTCGCTCCAATATCTCCATTGAGGCGCTTATCGCCTTCTCACCTGAGATGCTTGTGTACATGGATCGTACATCGAAACTCACCAACAGCTCCGACCCTACTAACGCAATGATCTGGATCCTTTGAGAAAATTCATAAGAATTCTTGACGGTATTCAAAAGTCTGTTATTTACTTTCTTGAGCTTCAAGCAAATGAATTCCGCTTGTTTATGCATTGTTCCATGCTTGTTGTTGGCTATTAAACTTAGAGGATTTCCTTCCTTGTGTATCTTCGGTGATCTTGCGTCATTTTTGGTTAAAGATTTCATCATCCATCTGTCAATTTCCCCATTTGTATGCATTTCATTCAGCATATTATTTAGTATCTTGTTGATATTGGTTAAGCATAACATGGAGGCAGAACGGATACGGAAGGAGTCGTTG